TTATTTGCATTTTAGAAGATACACTCAGCTTAGGGTCCTTTAGTCATGGAGCACAAAAAGAGATGTCTATTTATTGTTAGCAATTACACTGTTGTTAGCAATTATCATCTGTCTTGTTCTAACTCTTTTTTTTCTTTTAGGAAGATTATTGATGAACGGAGCAAACCCTGAGAAACCTAATGCTACTGATGAAAATAGGAAAGAAGGGAATATTATAAAAAGTGTATTTTCAAAAAAGAGGAAAATAGAAGTTGCATATTCAGATTGTGAGGCTGAAGTTAGCCCATTAGAATTGAAAACACACCCTAAAAGTGCTGAAACTGAGGACTGCCCACCTAATAGTCCAAAAGAGCCTGTGATGTAAGTGAGAGTTCAGGAGCCCTACTAGAGCCAAATCTAAGCTGTGATCAAGGCTTTTTTCTCCCTCCTCTATTTCTAACCCCCTACTTCCCACTCCTATATAGCACCTTGCTTCAAATGTTGTAAACTTAACACTGAGAAATCCAGGATACTTTTTTTTTAATGGTTACCATGTTCTGCTTTTTATTTCTTTTTAAAGAATATGAAATAGTGATAGAAAAAACAGCATTAGAAATGATGTAAGATTTCTCTAAACAAACAATGGAAATTCAACAGTGGTTGTTGTATTGCATGATGCTATCTTCAGATTAGTTGTTCAGATTATCACACATAAGCATATAAGATTCGCTTAAGGGGGGAAAAATAACACATAAGTTATAAGAAATTCAAAAGAGGAAAATAAATCATAGTAAAAACCAAAAAATTTTAAGCATTAACTGCTTTTTTCAAAAGACTAGCAGAAATTGATGATATAGTTATCCAAACTATTCTGTGTATATACCTAAACGTGTCTTTTCCCCTTCTTTCATTTGTCCTTTTCCTCATCCCAGTTTTTCCTTCTCATTGAACAATTTCTTTCCTTTTCATAGTATCTGTTTTACCTTTTATATTTTAATTACTCTTTCAGGTTCTCACATTAGCAAGGTAATACAGGGTTAACACATGTAGATCTGATTTATTTCACTTACCAATATAGTCTCTAGCTGCATCCATTTATCTACAAAACCCTCAAATTCATCCTTTTTCATATCTGAATAATACTCTGTTGTATAAAAAGGCCTTTTTTATCCATTCCTCAGTTGAAGGGCATTTGGGTTGTGTCCAAGATTTAGCTATGATAAATTACAGTGCTATAAACATGGGTACACATATATTGCTGTGGTATGATGATTTTAGTTCTTTTGGAAAAATACCTGGGCTCTTTATTTAATATTACTCTTGTATTTCCAAAGTTTTTTTTTTTAATTTATTTTATTTTATTTTATGTGTGTGTGTGTGTGTGTGTGTGTGTG